TGCATTAAGATTTTAATTTAAAATTACCAAATTTATAAATTTCCTAATTTATCTATTGATTTGTGGTTAATATTGGTTCTCACAGTTACCACAAACAACTCAGTTCTCCCTTGAATAGGCCCCTATATATATATATATGTGTGTGTGTGTGTGTGTATGTTTGTGTGTGCATATATATATATATATATATATGTGTGTGTGTGTGTGTCTGTGTATGTATATATATATATATATATATATATATATATGTATATTGGAAACCATAGAGGTAAGTTGGTTCAGCAAGTGGTCTACATCTTGATCTCGTCGGTTGATGATACCAATAATTCGTGCCGACAATTAGTGGAACCGGTGGATATGTTAGCTAAGTTGTTTGGTGGATACAATAAAATGATTTCGTGACTATCATTTCTATACAGTGTTTAAAGTGGATATTTTTCAAACCAATGTTCAGTAACTTAAGCGGAAGCAAAACATTAAGCAAACATTTAACGCTTGATCACTTAAGAAAGAATAAATAGCTGTTTAAATGACACATTTAAAAATAGCAGTTATATGCCCACGTGAATACGTGATACAACGTGAGATGTCTTGATTCTAAATTCAAAAACTCGAACCTTCAATGTTGCTTCCCAGTTTTCATATTCTCGATTATGTCATGTTAGTATGACTTAATGCTACCATCTATTATATGCTTATGAGTTAATTAGTTAATGTTATTGGATTATATATATATATATATATATATATATGTGTGTGTGTGTGTGTGTGTCTCTCTCTCTCTAAACATGAGTGATCGTGTGAAAATGTGAGTTAAGATGAAAAGCATACAATGGGATATAGATCATTGATCACCTTTAATCTCAAACCCACCCATGAATAGTGCTTGATCTGGTGCATCTCATTTCCGTGCATCTTATCTTAATATGCATCCAAAGGTGGAAATCCCGTATTACGCTTCTCATCTTAACTATTTTATAGGCCAAAAAAATTTACGCAAATTTAGATCTTTATGCAAATTCTTTACCCCGATGTAGATCCTTACTCAAATTTGCGTAAAGGTTTTATTATATGATAATCGAGTCTACGTAAACTTTGTAAAAATTAAAATTCAATTGAAAAAGTGGTCAAAAAGTAAATTCGGTTGGGAAGATTCATTATTTTTGATCTATTTCTCATTAAAATATCTTTCACATTAGTATTCTAGAGCATCTCCAACATATTCTTAAAAAATGGAAAATCAAAAGTTAAAATCTTCAAAGAGAATTTATATTCATCCCCCAAAACTTCTCCCGTTATATTATTAAACTATTCAATATATTTCATAAAATATTATTTATATTTCATATACACGTATAACTTCAAGTCTCCTTCATACGCAATCACTTTTTGGAGAGTTCTCCAAATTTAGAAAATATCACTGTGTCTCTTACTTTCTTCATTTTAGATAACGTTTTGGAAACCTGTTTGAACAAAAATCCCAAAATCTCCATTTTGAAGGATTTGTTACAGATGCTCTAGAAACGGTCTGGAGTATCTCCAACAGATTATCTAAAATGGAGAAAATATAGGATTTGTTTGTTTTCCTCTTAATAGTTTCACTAAGAGGTATCATCTGAATCCCTAATAGATAAATCTTGTTTGACGGAAAAAAAGTTTGTCTCTTAATGGTTCTAAAACTCTCTGAATGATTTCGTATCTTAGGTCTCTCTGAACCATTCAGCATCCTAATTTCATTATGATCAATTACCAAACAACCATATTTTCATTTTGCACCATATAATAAGAGCTTCTTAATCATTTTGACCAATTAATTATCATGCACCAAACCATTCAACAAGTGTCAAACAACCTCAAGATTTTTGTTCTTTATATGTCTCCAACATATTCTCTATCTTGTTTTCTAAAACAGAGGAAATAGAGAAAACTTCAAATATTGAGAAATTTTTAAAACTTTAAAAAGGAAATAAGCTTATATTCATTCCATCAATAAGATTGAATTAATATTATTTTGTATAATTATATATATATATATATATATATATATATAATTATAAAAAATAAAAATAAACATTGGTACGAAGTGGAAAATGACAGTGCGAGAACAAATACCAAGACACATGATCCAAACCATGGACACTCGCATTTGAGCGATATCAAATTCATCGAAATTCTCCAAAATCTATTCTGATTTTCCAGCCTTTCTTCTCTTATCTACGCCATTTTCTCAAACACTTCGTCTGCAACTACTTTCCCCAGGTATCTCCTCCATCTTTAATCATTACACTTTTACAATTGAATCTTCTCTTATTCTCATCTCTAATATCCTGTCGCCATACATGCAGACATCAGCTTTTCTTTTTCTGTATCAAAAATTTGGGGATTTTTAACCTCAATCGAAGAAAATTTCCCTCTTTTCTGTGTAGGGATCGTTTCCCTTTCTGGGTTTCACTTTAATCGGTGTTAACTTTGTCATGTGATTCTTCTGTTCGTCCTTGATTTGCTTAATCAGCGCTTTAATATATAAGTATTATTACTTTTGGATTGGTTTCAACTATTCGTAATTATGATTCCAGATTGCCTTTAATAGTTGTCATAATTTCTTCGAGTGGGCATATCATGATTTCTCTGATACGATTTCTGGTGGTTAGCCTCACATGCTGTTTGTTCTTTGCTTCTATTTAGATCCTTTCTACATTTTGTTTGGTTAGTTTTAAATTAAGTCATTTGTTGATAAATCTGTATAGATCAGGAAAGTTTTTGTTTGAAAGACTTTAACGAACTTACTGAATAAGTCAATTTATCTATCATTAAGCCGACATCAAACATTCATGTATAGCTGACCGAATAAGTGGTGAGTCCCGTTAAGGTCATTAAGATAGACCCTAATTCCCTTTAAATCTTAGGGGCTGTTTGATATTTTATCCATTAAATTCTCAATCTATTAAGTTGTGTCCAAACATTAATCTGTCTGAATAAATTAAGACAAATATATCTTGAATAAATAGTCTGAAACTTTGAATAATAAAAATTACCATTTTAATATTATGCCTACATAAGTATTGAATGATAAACTGTGTAATAAATATTTTAAATGACAAAAAGTTTAAAAAAATATGAATTATTTAAATGAAAAAATAATATGAATTTAACAAGTTCATAGCAAAATACTTAATAATTAAAATATATTTAAAGCAATAAAGTATTATTGTTTGATTATAAATTTTAATTTATGTATGTTGGTAATCTATTTATTTTTAAAGAGACGATAATTAAAAATTGTAGGAAAAGGATAATTTTGGAAAAATTCTAACTTGATGTATTAGGATAGAATGGACTAACTTAACATGTTAAGTCAATCTGTTGGTATTAAGTTAAAGCTAGCTACCCATCATGTTTATTAAGTTGAATGATTACCTTATTTAAGTGGTTGATTTAAGAACTCTTAATACTTGTCTAATTGAAGTTTTGCTGGTTTTCCAGTTGAAATTCTTGTATTCTACTGGTTTTTCAAGATTTCCCTTTTTCTTCATTCATGCCTCCAACTTATTTCCCTCTCCGGTGGGAGAGCACCGGAGATCAGTGGTGGTATGCTTCCCCAATTGATTGGGCTGCCGCCAACGGCCACTATGATTTGGTTCGTGAGCTTCTCCGGCTAGATGGCAACCACCTAATCAAACTGTCATCCCTGCGGCGAATCCACCGCCTTGAGGTCGTTTGGGATGATGAAGAACAGTTTGATGATGTTGCCAAGAATCGTTCTTTAGTCGCTCAAAAGCTCTTACACGAAGGTGACACTAAAAGGGGGAAGAACTCGTTAATTGGGTCCGGTTATGGCGGGTGGCTGTTGTACACCGCCGCCTCGGCTGGAGATCTTCGATTTGTTCAAGAATTGTTACACAAAGACGCTCTTTTGGTTTTCGGAGAAGGAGAATATGGTGTGACAGATATGCTATATGCTGCCGCCAGGAGCAAGAATATGGAGGTTTTTAGGCTCATTTATGATTTCGCTATGTCTCCGAGGTTTATGGCTAGTAATGGTAGAGAGTTAGAAGAACATATTGGGGAAATCCCGTCCGCTTATAAGCAGGAAATGAAGAATAGAGCGGTTCATGCATTGGCAAGAGGCGGAAACTTGAATATTCTAAAGGAGCTTCTTGGCGATTGCTCGAATGATAACATTTTGGGTTATAGAGATATTCAGGGATCAACTATTTTACACACGGCAGCTGGCCGGGGGCAGGTTGAGGTATGGGTTTCCTTTCGTGTTATCTTTCTGTTGGTATTCAGTATTCTTATTTTGTGAACTTGGGAACCAACTATTTCATGTAGTATTATCATGATGAATAACCCTGAATAATGATGAATATCATGTAGATTCATTATGAATAGTTTTCATTATTAATAAAACATGAATAATTGGTTCCTAGGTTCTCGTAATATTTGCGGTTCTCATTTGAACCTGGCCGTTACTTATATTGCATAATGTACAATATTCTTGATTGTCAATGATGCTGCTTTAGAATTCACAATCGGCTTGTTTCATGGAAAAGAAACACATCGGTGAATAATCTGTCGTATCTAAGTGCTAAAATGAACTCAATAACTTTCAAATGACCTTCATCTGACCTGCCCATGATTTAAAAACCGTCCGCCCCTCATTCAAAATGCTTGCTCTCGTAAAAAACTTAGAAACACACCAGGGCCTGTTTTTTAGCAGCTTAACGAGCTTAATAGGACTCGCAGCTTAATTGGTCAGCTATATATAACTGTTTGGTAGTGGCTTAATGATATGAAAGTGACTTATTCAATAAGCTTCTAGGAGAGCTTTATGCAGAAAGCCAAGTTTTTTTTTTCCAAACCTAGCCCTCAATTAAAAAAACACGCTCCTTCTGTCTATGAAAAATCTTCCCAATCTATACAGACAGATTAATCTACACAAACAACTTTTTCCATACATGATTTGATGGAAAAACCAACCAAATAGTCCCTTAGATTCTTAGATTCTTAAATTCAGTTTTTGAGAAGGTCACTCAGCTAAGTAGCCCGTCATAAAATGCAGGTAGTCAAATATCTCATATCCTCGTATGAGATCATCAACTCCGTAGACAAACAAGGCAATACCGCCCTGCATGTAGCAGCTTCCAGGGGCCATATATCTGTGGTCGACATTTTGATCAGGGCATCGCCTTCTTCTGTACAATCAAAAAACGATGCCGGAGAGACGTTTTTACATACGGCCGTGACCGGTTTCCAAATACCAACTTTTCGAAGGCTCGACCGTCAGATCGTTCTCATGAAACAATTAGTCTGCTCGAAAGCCTTCAATATCGAAGAAATCATCAATGCTGCAGATAATGAAGGAAGAACAGCGCTTCATTTAGCCATCAATGGGAACATCGATAGTGATCTGGTGGAGTTACTTATGACCGTTTGTTCCATTAACGTCAATAAGCGCGATAATCACGGTCTGACCCCACTAGATCTCCTCAAGCAACGGCCGTCATCAGCTTCATCGGAAGTGCTCAAACGACAGCTCATCTCTGCCGGAGCAATTCTCAGTAATCAAGATTACACAGTTCGAAAAATCCTCGCGTCCCATTTGAGAAAAGGGAGTGCCGGTGGAAGCCCTGGAACTACGTTCAACGTTGCCGATTCTGAAATATTCTTGCACTCAGGTACCGAGAATACCCCCTCCACGGCTTGCGGTACACCGGTTCTCACGATGAATGCTGCAGAACCGAGTCAACTCAACTCAAACTCAAACTCAATCTCAAACTCGAACTTGGAATCCAAGAGTCCCAACAAGAAGAAGCACAAAGGTATAAAGCGATTCCTTCGGTGGCCGAAAACGAGAAAAACAGGAGACGAAGGCGGGAATTTGACGATGAAACCAACGGAACTCCCGGTTCCGCTTAGGCAGAGATACTCGAAACCCTCAACACCTTCAAACAACAAGCGATCACTTGCTGCTAGAAGCAATCTTGCTAGCCCAACTGCAAAAAAGAAAGTTGCTTCAGGATTAGTGAACGGAGTTATGCAAGCGATGCCACATATGCACCGAAGATCACAGTCTAATTCGTTCTCGAGATCCTCCATTTCTTCACACAATTCACATACGGGAATCGAGATTGTGGGCTCGAGCCAGATGTTTGATGACGGAATCGTCAACAAAGAAGAAGGGGTCGTGAATAACAGGAGGTCGGTGAATCAGTACTTCTGTTTTGGCGGTTCGAGGCTACCGTTAGAATCGAATGGTTCGGATCGACAGCAGCAACACGAGATCTACGATCGGTATGTTTTGTCGACGGCTTAAAAGATTTAGCAGGTTAGTCAATCTTGTAGCCTGTAATGTAATCTTAATTTCCCCAAATCTATCTATAAGCATGTTTAATAGTTGTGAAGTATGTAACTTTAGCTTTCAAAATGTTGTTGAACTTTGTGTGAATGCAATATAGATTATGAGGAAGCTTTGAATAAATACTCTTTTTTTTTTCTCTCACATATGTTGGATATATTGGATTAGGGTCGGGTTTTGGTGAGAACTTCCTGTTTTCATGAGAACCCTTTTGCAACCGTAGATCTCGCTTTTGATCCAAGGATGATGATCTGTCGTCTTTTTATGAAAGAGGGGCATTTTGGTCTTTTGTTATTCCGCATCTGGGCACTTTAATATACCTTAACATTTTAGTGTTTTTTTAAGTTTAAGGTACATTAAGGTTAGTTAAGTATGTTAAGGTTCAGTAGTTCCATTTCCATGCCACTAAAGTTTCACTCAATTATAAACCTTTCTTTATTATTCTCTTAAGAGTGCATTAGACGATTGAAAGAATTGTGTAAGGTTTTAGGGTTTTAATGATATTGGTGGTTTAGTAATTTACTGATCTTCTCTTATCCATCTCAGATCTTTGTTCTACCTATTTTGGTCTCAGTCAGTCTGGTCTGTCTCTATCTAAATGTCGCACTAAACGTAAGACAGAAGATTCTTCTAACCTATCTCGCTTACCAAACACATTAGGCTGTTTGTGGGCTGTGTGGTTCATCTGAACTAAATTAAGCACAGATACACTTCTCTTTTGTGGGCTCAAAAAAGCCCAAAATCAGTTGGTGATAGCCTCATGAATTGGTCTAATATGGGCTTTTATTCGACCCGTGTTACGGCTAATAAAAACAATTCTTTTAAGTTGGTTTGAACATACATGGTTTTAATTATTATTTTTTTCAAATCTTGAACATTTGTTCATTTTCATGCAATCAATCCAGTCTGAACTCTGATGGATGATTAAATTGGATTATTGCGTCAGTTCTGTTCAGTAGATATTTATCAGTTACCTATTGAATACATCGAATTTTTAGAGCCAAATATCCACATAAATTGACCGGCCAACATAATTTATGAGCATAAGGGGTTGTTTGGAAGTTGTTGAATGGTTTGGTGCAGAATGATTAAGTGGTCAGAATGATTAAAAGGCTTTCATGATATAGTGCAAAATGAAATATAATTGTTTGGTAATTGTTTACGATAAAATTAGAGCGCTTAATGGTTAAGGGAGGCCCAGGATACGAAATCATTCAGATGGTTTTAGAACCATTAAGAGACAAATTTTTTTTTATCAAACAAGATTCACCTCTTAACGATTCAGAGGCTACATCTTAATGGAACTATTAAGAGGTAAACATACAACCCCTAAGTCATACACAAAAGAAGGGTCATACACCAAAATACCAAATACATCATATAAAATAAACCTTCATGATTGATACTTGGATGGTAATTGTCGGATTGAGTCTTGTTGAATTTTGAACATCTAAGAATTGGCTGATCTAATATAAATGCGATCTAATCAAATTACAATCGGATATCCAATTTCGATCAATCCATTGTCATTAGATTGGTCGATTGTAATTTAATCAGATAACATTTTACGCAGATGGGCCCCTACGTGGTGGTGGTGGTTACGTCACAATTATGATTGTCCAAATAAGTCCATGATGTTGAAAAGATTGCACATTTTACAAATTGTGTGGCATTGACCATTTGTTGCAGAATTGGACTAACAGCTAACGGTTTCGGTTTTGTGAATACTTTACTGATTATAGGTCATTTGAGTAAAACCAAAACCATCAAAATTTATGTCGTTTTTCATAAAAAATTATTTATTTATTATTATTGAAATTGTTTTTCAATAATATACAGTTATATAAACGTTTTTCAATCGCCATTAGAGCGGGACCAGAATAGGGTACCGTACACAAATGTATCAAGAAGTATGGACAAAACCGATTGACTTCATGTCGCATAACTTTTCAAGTCAATGACGTGTTTCTCTAAGAATGCTATAAAAATGTGACACTGACATACTGTTCGGTCCATATAATTATTCCTATATTCCTTTCAGTATTCACACTGGTATTTTTCGTTTTTGTTTCTAAGGATAACAGTTTCTAATAAGAATTACGTTACTGATACAAGATTCTTGCTTAACTTGTAGGATTCAACGACTTTGGTGGTTTAATCTGATTTAAAAGGAATAACAAAAACTAAACCGTTTACGCTACTTGTGGTTTCGCTTTTGTCACTGCAAGGTTCAAGAATGTCGACGGTGGGAATTTAATTTTTAAAAAGGTGAAGAAAAAAGAAATAAAAAATAATATTAAAAAGTCCAAGTCGTCTCCCAAATATTCAAGAATTTCGAGCCGGCTTCCCTTTCAAGCTACCCACTACGCATTTATTACGTATCGTTTTTGTCATTAAATGATACTCCTACATAGAGATGTCCAAATGGGCCCGGCCCGGCCCGTAACCGACGGAGGACCGGGACCGGAGAGGGACCGGGACCGACGGTTATGATCCGGTTAGGGTTTTTGACGTTTTTTGGGACCGGGACCGGTTATGTAACCGGTTATAGGCCCGGCCCGGCCCGGCCCGGTCAACAAAAGTCAACGAAACGTATATATATAATAAACCGTATTTTTATTGTGTATTTTTAAACGTATTTACAACAAAACGTATTTATAGTAAAATGTATTTATAATAAAACATATTCAAAATATCATATTACAAACATATTAATAACATATTAAAAATTTATTAATAACCAAAAATTTAAAAAAAATCATTTTTTTTTTAATAGGCCCGGTCGGGACCGGTTGGGACAACCGGTTACTAATAACCTTGACCGGTTACAAGGAAAATCACAAGGACCGGGACCGGTTATGTCGGGACCGGTTACCGCCGGTTTTTGTCGCGATTAGGCCCGGTAGGGACCGGTTAAGGCCCGGCCCGGGACCGAATTTTGGCCACCTCTACTCCTACATAACATTATTTTCAAGGTTTAGGTTCTGTTTGGTTTTTTTTAATTATCTTTTAATACATTTGAAGTCTCATTTATTTAGATGTTTGGGTATTAAGAGTGTTTGTTTTATTTTTAAAATAAGAGCTTAAAAGTTTTAAATATTCTCTGAAATTTAAGTGATAAACATATTCTTTAATACTTCTTAATCTTAATCTGTACTCTATCATATAGTTCATATTTTGGGGCTGAAAAATATCTGTTAGCAAAAACTATCTTTTATACTTTTGTAAAAAAATATTTATCTTTTATATTTTTGCACTAGTTTGATCGATTCAAAATTTAGACTGTAAAAACAAACAATCTTTCTGACCCAGATTTCAGACTTCAGGACCACCTCTTATAAATCAAAAATGAAATCAAACTTCAGACTCCATTACCTTTTAAAAAACAACCACTACCTTAAACTTAAGTTTTTTTTTTTCAAATAAACAATTAAGCTTTTGTGTATACGTTATTTATTATGATTTTACATGTTTTTTACTCAATTCTTAATAGATGTTTGCAGACGTGATGAAAATCTTAGGTTTATGGTCTATTTGTTAGCAGCTTAATAAACTTAACAAGACTCATAACTTATTCGGTCAGTTACACATAATTATTTGGTAATGACTTAATGACATATAAAGTGGTTTATTTGGTAAGTTTTCGTAAAAGAACTTTATGTAAAAAACCAAGTTTTGTTTTTTCAAAAATGCCCCTCATAATTAAAAGCACACGTCCCTTATATATATGAAAAAATCCATCTGAAACAAAAACCTTAACAATCTATACAAAACAGATTAATCCACACAAACAAGGCCGGTTGACCGTCGGTTAAGGACCGGTTATGGTTTTCATTCAAAAACAAGGCCTGTCCCGATACCGATTTTTAGCCGATCACTAAGGACGAGTTATCTAGTATGTAAAAATAGTTTAAATTATTATAATAAACTCGTTAAAAAAAAGCAACCTTAAATTCAAACTGTATCCAAATATCTGGACTAAACACATAAATAATGGGCATATAGTTTTAAAATCCATTGATGATGGTTGGAGTATTGTCAAAGAAACGGAGTTATCGAGGTTTGACTATTGATCGTGTAATGGGCTTCAAGGATAACTCCCACTTAACCAACCCAACTTGGTGAAACAAAGTCTATTTTTGTACTATTTTGCATTCTCTTACTTAACTAATTTCTGAATATTTACTTTGGGTTGGGTTCACATAAAATTAAGGGTTTTTTGTGAGACCCATAAGATTAAATTATGTTCATTGATCAACTTTATAAGCTAATTGTTTAAAGTTGTACGGTGACAATTTTGTAATTATTGAGAAGTCTCGTGGCAATTTTGTGATTATTAATGTTCAAATTGTAGATTTAATCCAAAGGTTGAGAATTGGTCTTACGAATCTCATAAAAAACTTTTAGTTTCACATGATCCCAAGTTTATTTACTTTTACATAAACTATATAATTTTTAAGATTATCTCATTTATTAACCCAACTAGATACTACGATAGAATGAGACAAAATCAATATTTCACAATACGACAAAACTAAAAAAAATTCAATTTACCATAACTCGAATATAACATTTGCTTTAATGGTTACCATCATTATTGCAACCACTACCACCGGCGGTGACCACCAACACGAACCACCTCCACCATCTCTATCTCAGGGACAGACTCAGGTGGTGTTTCGTTCCTTCATCGTAGTGTAAAATTTTACAGGGTCGTTAAAAGTGTTATCGTATCAGTTTGTTATGTGTCACCATATATATTTTGAAACTACAACAAGGATACAAGTTTTTTTTTAATAGAGTTGGTTGCAAGGCTTTTATTTTACCTTAGACCCGAGTTTAAATTTCGTTAGTGTCATATTTTTAGTTTTTAATTTTTACTTTCAGATTTATTATGTTTCTGAAGAAAAAAATTTGCAATAAAAGACTTGAAGAAAGAACCTACATATGAAAAATATTAATATAATGATTTAATTTTAACCAACAGACCAGTGATATTTGTGAAAAATATTAATATATTTGTTTCTTATGGTAAAATGGTGTATCCGCTTAGGTCCGTCTCTGGTCTACGTCCATATCCACCTATGTCTGTCATCACTATCGTCCACCATCTCCACTCCTCTA